CTGAGCGATTCCGCCCGATTGTAGGCTGAAGCTCACCAATTTGGGCACATCGCAGTTGTCTACAATATAGCGATTCAACTTGTGCCGGCTTCACCCTTTTGGAATGACTGTGCAAAATATTCGGCTTCCACCTGGAGTTTATTTCGGGGAGCAACGCCGAATCGACAATGTATTGTGTGTATAAGTAGCCACTCGCTCGCGTCTCTCAGAACGAATGATACTGGAACATTACAGAATACGCATGATATGGAAAAGTCTGATGCCGAATGATACCGTCTCTGATGAGCAATCTAATGTAATATCCACACGACTAGATTGATAGTCCACCAAATAAAAAAAGCTAACCGCGAATGCTCTGTGAGCCAAACCAAGTTGTCCTGAGTAATGAGGGAACACTTCGTTGTGACCACATCCCCACAGATGGTGATATAACAGTGAGTGCAATAGTCAGTACCCAACGGCAGAAAAGTAGGGTCATGTTGGGAGAATAATCAAAACAAAGCTTCATCACTTTGCTCAAGGCTGTCCAATATACTTACCAAGCCCATGGCTCATCTCAATATATCGAAGAGGGTAGACACCCAGGGTATGCTTTAGAACGCCATATAGTGTGTGCGAATCGTAGTCCAATGGAAAGAGACCAGACATGTCGTCGTACTGCGATTGAGTAAGGTTGATAGCGATCTGGTTATCCGTGCCCGGCACGTATTCCCAGGGGGCTCTCATCGGATCGACAGATGCGTTTGTCACCACCATGATTACAGTGTTGTCTTTTACGCTGAAGTCGAGAACCAGGAAGGCGGTATGCCAAGGCTTGTGCGTAAGGAATAGGCCGTACATATCCCAGTCTGAGCCGTGGACGAGCACGTAGTTGTGGAAGCTCAGAACGATGAAGATCAGATTGATGCTTGAGATGAACATGAAGCCGATTCACTTGGAGTCTCCGATTCGAAGCACAACGATCTGCACGCGTGAAGTGGTCTTCATAGCTACGGTCTCACGCGGTGGAGCCTCTCCACCGATCATGGAGCGGCTCCACCGTGTAAGACACGGCGTGTTCCTTGTGTGAACTCGGTCCCGCTACCGAGAGTAACTTTGATGTGAAATGGATTTCGTGGAAGATGGGACCAGTGGGTCGCACACGACAATAATATATCGCATCACGCGATACACGGACCGCTCCCGAGCTGGACACGCCTGGTGT